TGTCTCAGAAAGCTAAGCAGAGCTGGACTTATTTTATATAAGTACTGATTAATTGAAATTGGCTTGGGTTTTTTAAAACTATGATTTGAAAATGGTAGCTGCTTGTTTTAGTAATGGTTTTAGATGGTACAATTTTGAATTTTTTTTTCGTATTTTGTATATCATAAGATGTTTATAAGATTCTCTTACAATTCTGCTGGTATTACAAGGGATCAAATGGCCTTAAGATCAATAAGTCAGTAGTTAAAACATATTAATTTTCTTCTTGCTGCAGCTTTGCTTCCTGCTGTTACCTACTTCCTGGTGACATAGGCAAAACTTCAATTCTACAACTGCCTCCTTTGGGGGGAGGGGAATGTTTGGGCACCTTTTCTTTGTATGCCTGCAGGGTTACAAAATCATTATATCCATTTTCTTTGGAGCTGGTTTGAGGGACATGTTGGTGACTTTTAGCCATGTTTGACTTTTTGTGGAGAGAGGGCAAAGGCAAGGGCCACAGTGGATGAAACCGTGATGTACTGTGGGAAAGGCCACGCTGGTCTATTCCATGTTTTGTGGGGAAATCTCAGAAGTCTTTTGATGTTGTTTTGTTTTTGGTTTAGCTCTGAGGCAGAACCAGTCCACTGCATCTGATCACTTTCTATTGAGACCAGTGGCTTTTGCGTATGTACAACACATGTGCAGAAGATCACAGAACTGCCAGAAAAGCAGCTGAAGCAAAGCGGCTGTTCAGATCAGGGAACTAAAAGCTTTGCGCTGCCCTGTTTAATGGATCTGCTTTGATGGAGTGATTCAACTGAATTACCTTTGAATTGAATCACCCCATCAAATTTTTGCATTCAGCCATCTGTTGAAACTGTACAGCATTGGGCGCAGGCTTAAGTTTTTATTAGCAACCCTATGATTGAAAGGGTTTACCATGATATTTTTTATATTCTCTGGGTGGATAAATCAACAACTGCTAGCCTTTTCAAACCTAAGGGTTTAATGGGGTTTCCTTTGTGTAAATGAAAGCTGAAGTTTTAAAAAGTTTCTAATCCACAAAATGAGTTCAAACATTCCGAGCATATTCACTTTCCTTTAAGCAGCTTACTGGAGAGGAAAGACATGCACATATACAACCTAAAACGTTGTCTATTTAGGGTGGGGAATTAACTCTCACAGCAGTTTTATTTCCACTATTAACAAAACAAATAACCTTGTAGCTAAACCAATGATACAACCTTGCCTTACCGTAAAAATTCATTACAGTTGCAACCATCATTTCATATGTCTTCATCATACTTTACATATTGCCTAAGCAGAAGCAGTTTTTACTTCCAATTATATAGGAAACTTTATGGAAATGTTTAAGCAATACCTTATTGTGGAAGGAAAAGGGCATTTCAATATGGGCAAGAGGTGGAGGTTTTAGGTGTTAGAATGCAATATCTCTTCCTTCAAAGAAGATAGAACCTATGGAGATACCTCATCTTTTCTGTTCATTCACTATCTTATTGAACTCATCATCTATACCCTTGTAAATCCAGTTCATTTTAGTTCTAACAATTTTTAGGCCACACTTGTATCTCTGTTTCAGCATTGTTTCCATACTGCATTCTCCATAGTTATTATTCCTATTATTAGATAACAGTAAATCTGTAAAACCTAAAACTTAACTCCATGCCTGAATCAAAAACTACTTGAGATTCCTTCCTCTTTTCAAATTTTAATGGCTATGGCTTAGCACTGATAGTTTTAAACATCTAAATATTGCTGTTCCATACACAGATATCCACTATCAATGCTAATTATTTTGTTTTCTTTAAAGTCCCTTTATTAATTGCTTTTTATCTCAACTTTTTAACTCCAAGGACCCAGAATGATGTTCAAAATTTACTCTCAACATTCATGAGAAATAGAATGTTATTCTCCTTATAATACATTATAATTTTTATCCATGATAAAAATGGAATTTGGATTCTGTTGTGTGCTTACATTTACACAAATAACACTTTAAGAGTTTATAGAAATGAAATGCAGATGCAGCTTTCACCTTTATTTTGTTCAAAATCATTGCTGCCAAGTTCCAAGAATGCCTGAGGGACCTCAAATTTGGATCTGAGGCATACATGCAGTCTGCTTTGCCCATCCCCATCCTATGTTTTGAAGTTCATTCACCATCTTATAGATACAGTTGACATGGCATGTGTCAATGATATTATTAGCATAGGCAGAATGGTTTTTTTCAGTGTTTTTTCAAAAATTTTTGGAGTTTTTAAAACCTAATGAAAAGTAGATGCCAATCCAGTATCTTGCATACCTTACTTATTTTGTTCTTGCTACAAATTGTTAGAAGAACATGCCTCTTTTGTTCATTTTAGTCTTTCCAATTCCAGATGTAGTTCTGAATAACCAAATATAACAAGGTTCAAAGTTATGGGATGAAATTAATTCTACTTGTATGCCCAAGTCTCCAATACCTTATGTACATTCTGTTTTATTTCAGGTGAATGAGAAAATATTGAATGACACCCAGTACTTTATTTACTATTTGGTAAATAGCTGTATTGTGATACATAGCAAATACATCATCTCAAAAGTTAGAACCCAAGTGCAAGGTATGATTGAACTCTGAATAAATCTAATAAATCTGATTAATAAATATATATTTTCACTAAGTTAAGATATTTGGGATTAACTTTCATGCTTCTTCTTGATGTATGGTAGCTTAATTTTTCTAAGGATTTTTGACTATATGAAATAGTATCTTATGATTATACCTGGTAAATTGAATATTCAAAACCCTGAGGCCAACTTAGTTGGCTGAACATTCAGAACCCTACAGTGAAGCATTAACCCAATGGTTAATGGATTTTTTAAAGAGATACATTGTGCTCCAATTGTGATACTGGAATATGTAAAATACAGAGATTTTATGTCAGGTATGAAAGATGTAAGAATATATAAATTATGTCCTTTATCTTCCAAAAAGCATACAAGTCAAGGCCTGATTATTTCCAAATTGTTTGCAGCAATTTCCACCTACTTTGAACTACCAAAGAATGTAGAGAAGTTCATGGCTTGATTGGTGGAAGGTTCTCAAAAGACATCTGCCTGAGATACTGGAATGATTTTGTCAATCAGAAACAATAATGTGAGAACTAGATTACTGAGGATATACTGGAGCTTAATTCATAACAACACTTGATTCTGCCTTTAGGATGCAGTCTTCTACACAGTAAGTCCAGCTGAACTAAGTGGAACATATATCTGAGGAAACACATACACTATTGCATTGCCCAGCTCCTTATTTATCTTAAGGAAAAGCAACATATTCATTATCAGATATTTGGTAAACTAGTGGCTTTTTACTTCTGAGGCATTTATTTTATTTTTAAAGAAAATAAATAAAAGTTTTCCACTAGTGCATATTTTAAGAGATCCAAAACAAGATAACAAAATATTCTCAGCAGAGTATTCTAAGGAATACTGACACTTTTATTTTCTATCACTACTCTTGTCATTATGTCAGGGATTTGTGGAAGACCGCTGATAGTTTCTGGGATATGCATAGCATTAGAAAGTTTTTTTAAGGAAATGAAGAGGTTTTTGTTATCACTGTGATCTGAAATCTGTGGAGATATATATTTATTTATTTTTGCAACCTTTCATTATTAAATCTGAAATGGGAACTTACTGCTGGAAGTGAGTGAATGATTAGCATTAGGCAATATATAGTTTAATATCAACCTGAGAAGAATATTGGAGGGAAGTTACATAAGGAATAAAGTTGCACTGTTTTTTATTTGGAGAGAAGCTTTATATTCCTTACGAATTAACAAAGGAAGATACAGTCCTTCTTTTGTTCTAGTCAATATTTGTTTTTCTCTTCAAAATCCATACAACAGAAGCCTAAGCAATATATATATCAAATGACAGTCTGTAACCAATTTTGGTCTTATGCAAAAAGTGTGTAAAGAACTTTATGCATACTGCATGGAAATATATGCAATTACATTTCAATAATCTTTCTCAAGAAATAGTGGAGAAATAAATATTTTTCATGGCTAAGTGGTATGTATAGAAAACAATACTATGTGTGTGTGTGTGTGAGAGAGAGAGATGATTAACACTTTCTCTTCCTCTGGAAATCTACAGTAGAACCCAAAGAAAAGCTTTTAAGCATGTGTTAAAGATAACACTCAGCTCATATAGTTTTTTCTCTTACCACTTTTAATTGGGAGGGTTTGTGCTAAAGCTATGTATTATGGGGAAATTAATAATAATGAGCAGATTATCTTTGAAGTGAAGCTACATGCCACTGTTAATCTCATGGAGAATTTCCAGCTTCTAAGAAAACATGGTGATTGGCAAATGATAGTATGAAAATGTGAGGCTATTCATCTATGATTTTTTAAATCTGAATTTCACATAGAATTCCCTGCCCTACTCTGAAAGGGATATAGGAGAATTCCCTTTTTAAAAAAGAATTTCTTTATGTTGTATTTTTATCAGATTCTTTTTTCCTCCAATAATTCTATTAAAGGTTATATAGAACAGATAAAACTAATACAAAAACCTGATACAAAATTACATTTAAAAATATTAAAAAGTACAGAGAAAAGAAAAAAAAAATCCCCCCCAAAATGAAAAGAAGAAACTTTCCCCTTCATCCCCAGCAAGTATATACAACATTAACAATTTATCACTGTCTCTTAAAATACTACCAAATACATCTTCATTCCATACTTCACCCCATTTTCCATAGACCCATCTCTAAATCTTCAGTTCTCCTTATTAATCAACAAAAGTGTAAAGATTAACAGATATAGCTAACAACATAAGCATTTAGTCCCCTTTTCCATTTAAACATAATCACCCTAATTCCTCTCTTAATAATCAAATCTAATCCCAGTTGACAATTAAACATTACAGAAAAATAAAAAAATTAACCATTAATCATCACCAGAGATAGCAACCCATTATTAATCCCAATTAACAATTAAACATTACAGAAAAATAAAAACTGTGAAACATTACCAAAAATTATAATCCCTTATTGTATACCAAAAATAGTAACATGGATATTACAAGCTAATCCATTACATCCAATTGGACGTTTCCAAAAAAGACTTATTCAGTCACAGTAACCATTAAACATCACCAAAAATAACAACCCATTATTTAACCATAATCAAATAAAGCAGTTTTGTATTTTTTCTTCTTCCTCCCATCAGTTGTTGAATCCCATATATAAAGTGCTAACGTCTGCTTTCTTCTATTATTCTTGTCCCTTCTCTTGAAATCCTTGTCATCATTATCAAAATCTATATGTAATTTCAATTTAGCCACCCCTGTAAGTCTCTTATATTCCAATTTAAACAGGTAATCCCTATCCCTCTTTTGATACATTATCTGTATATCTTTTTTAATGTTCAAATGATCATCAATTCCAATTGTAAACCAGTATTTCCATCTCTTTCTTATAGGTAATAATTTTTAAATCCACCGTAAAATCCATTTCAATTATTTTCTGAGGAACTTGGTTCTTTTCAATAGCAACTTTTGGTTCCAATATAGAGTTAAATAGTCCAAGCATTTCCTGAGCCAGCTTATAAAATGTTTCCTTTAAAGTAACCATTTGGTGCTCTCTAGTGATGCATCTTCAACGTTTGATATCAGGGTGAAATATAAACATGAATTATTTTTCCCACACAAATTAATTTTACTTTCATTAATTTAATGAAATGAAATTAATTTAATTTGGATGAAATTAATTTAAAGAAAGATTAACTTCAAAGTCTTTCTTTAAATTAATTTCATCCAAATCCTTAGCATTCAAAAACTTTCCAAAAAACAACACTATAGTCCCCTTTTTGTTATATGTTGCAAAAAAATAAAGATCTTACAAAGCTGGAAACATGTAATTTTCTTTCTTTGTGAATGGATTGAAGAGAAGCTCACCCAGCAAATGCCAAACTTGTGATTCTGAAAGTTTTTCAATCTTAAAGAAGCAGTAAGAAAAAAATTAAACTCTGAGGTGATTAAAAAGATGAGGTCTGAATGAACTTTAAGTCCTCAAAAGGCTACATTAATGGCTCAGAGTATGATGAAACCCGTCACTCCCAGCCGATCGCAGGTGGCTGCAAAAATGTCAGTTTCTACTGGTGACTCACAAAAAACCCCAACTGTCTGGAATGTATGAGGGTAATCTTAAGATCTCTCTTTTATCCAGAGAGAATTATCAGCTGCCTGGATTCACATCTAGCTGCCTTTTGGCTGCAGTGTCTCCCGTAAAGGGTGCGGTGTCAGTTCACCAGCCTCACTGGAAGCGTTCCTGTTTTTATCGGATTCTTGAGGTCCGCTCCGTATAGCTTTTTGTTTTACCCTCACAAACCATGAATAGCATTTTCATGCAGGACTTTGTGAATGTCTTCACTTTACACTCTTTGAGGTAGGTAGCACTCCCTCCAACTGGCCAATGGGGAAGCCATAAAAATAGTATTGGGTGCCCCAGCCATGCCTTTGTCTTTCCATTTCTGCATCTGCAGCAAAGGGAGGACCCCCCCCCCAAAAAACACCCCAATGAGCTGCTAGTGGAGGGCGGTGGCAAAACCTTCCCTTGAGCAATAGGAAAGAGTGGGAAAATGCCATTTTCGCTTTTGAAATAAAGGGGAAATCCTCGAAGCAGAGAGATGGAACAGGGTGGAGATCCTGCCAGTTGGAACCTGTCCCACCTGCAGTTCTAGAGGAAATACTGTGAAACTGTATCCACAGCCCTTCCTCCAGAGCAGAATGCTTCACAACATTGCGGGACAAA